TTCACAAAAATTGGTAATAGACCTATTCGGTCAAAGGATCCTCCATTCACATCAATAAAATGGATAACGTTATCACTTTAAAATGGCTCGGGCCACACTTACTCAGAATATAACATAATACTAATACCTTGCGTCTTAGGTGAGCATAATGCCGCTTAATCAGTATTATTTCCAATTTAATGGTTTATACTATCAGCAGATTAGAGGCACATCAATGGGGCCCCCTGGGCTTTGGCTTATGCTTGCCTCCACCTTGGATGTTGGGAAAAGGAGATAGTCTATGCCTCCTCAATGTACCTCAACCATTCTTATTTGTGGTTGAGGTATATAGATGATTTATTAATGTTATGGAATGGTACAATGGATCAACTTGAAAACTTTATGGAAGAACTTGGTAACAATACCCGTAATATAAAATTGACCTATACAGATGATGTGAATGTAGGATCCTTTGACCTATTAGGTCTATTACCAATTTTTGTGAAGTATAATAAAGCTATTGGTTTTATTTACACCGCTGTTAGCTGTCATAACTCCCCTGATTTTTCTGGTGGCGTCAGCGAAAAAATTGGTGAGGAAATAGGCAGTGGTGACAGGAGGAGCTTTCCCATGTACAAAATGTGTCTCTTGTACATATAGAATGTCAGTTTTTTTGAGCTATTGCTTCTTGCCATAGTCTCAGTCTTTTAAAGAGACTGTTAAATCCTTTGGCGTTAATGGTGGTTATGCGGAGCATCATTGATGTACAAGTCTGGCGGTGGCTGGAAGAGCAAGAGAGGGACCACTATCATCAAAATATTGCAATGCGAACAATGTTATAATCAGACTACTAAGAGAGATACCCGAGTAAGTACAAATGGTATACAAACAAGAAAGTAGAATAAGCTTATTAACCACTTGCCTAATGGGCACTTTTACCCCCTTGCCTAATGGGCACTTTTACCCCCTTCCTGCTGTGTCATTGGAAAAAGGCCACTGTGATTGGCCTATTACCACATCACATGATCAGCTGTGTCCGTAGGACACAGCGATCATGGAGATTGCTGGGGGCACGTTCTGGGCGGACATCATATCACGCCCTCCCAGAACTGGACAACCGCGCTGTAGCCGTCATTCGGCTATAGTATGGTTGGCAAGTGGTTACCAGGTAAGAACAGTGCTATTAAGCAAACGAAGAAAAGCCGTGTGCGTAGCACACTTGGAACCTGGAGTGTGTGAACAATAAAAGGGTAGCAATAGGCTACACTATTAAAGTGTGAATTGGCAGGTGATGCTAATGCATCCAGTTCAGCCTGAGATGAAGAGATTACATTAGGCACTTGAATCATGTTGCTATCCAGATTACTTGTGAGTTTGAATTTCTCGGTCCCCCTGATCTTATTGGATGGATCATACCAAGGGGTGCTGGGCTCTGCTGAGGTTGTTATCCCCCCAGTTGTTTGAGTTCATCTTTGGGGGAAGTAATTGCGATTTGTTGGTTTTGTAAAGTAACCAGTAGCTTGGTTGGAAAGCCCCATCGATAAACAATATTGCGTTCCCGCAAAATTGTGGCGATTGGAGCGAATTCATGGCGCCTCTGAGCTGTGGCTGTGGATAAATCTTGGTATAGGGTGGGGAGAGCGACTTTGTGGATCTAGAAGCTCTCATCAGACGATCCTTAACCATTTGCCTACCGGGCGCTTTTACCCCCTTCCTGCCCAGGTCAATTTTCAGCTTTCAGCGCTACCGTACTTTGAATGACAGTTGCGCGGTCATGCAACATTGTACCCATATGAAATTTTTATAATTTTTTTCACACAAATAGAGCTTTCTTTTGGTGGTATTTACTCACCGCTGGTTTTATTTTTTTGCAATATAAACAAAAAACGAGCAAAACATTTGGAAAAAAAGTTTTTCTTTGTTTCTATTATAAAATTTTGCAAACAGGTAATTTTTCTTCATCTGATGTGTGTTGATGAGGCTGCACTTATGGGCAGCGCTGATGGGCGGCACTACTGTGCACAGGTGGGCGGCACTGCTGGGTGGCACTGATGGGCACAGGTGGGTGGCACTGATCATCAGTGCCCTGTTGATCAGTGCCGATCCCTCCGCTGACAATTGGTGGTTCTCGGCAGTACTTTCCTCACGTTGTGACAGCGTGAGGAAAGTGCAGCCAAGAACCGCCAACTGTATTTACCCAGTGATCTGCTGTGTCATTGGACACAGCTGATCACATGGTAAAAGGCCGCAGTGATTGGCCGTTTACCATATCACGTGATCAGCTGTGTCCGTAGATCACAGCAATCACCGGCGGCACTGGGGACGCTGGGGGGGGGGGGGGGGGGGGGCGTTTTCTGGAATGACGTCCATGGACGTTGTCCCAGAATTACACAACCGCACTGTAGTTGTCCTTCAGCTATAGCGCGGTTGGGAACTGGTTAATGTGATAAAAGTGAACGTGGACTAGGACGTCCCTAGGGATTGCGTCTGGGAAATGCGCTGGTTTAGGGATCCTGTGGGTCCTGTCCAGGAGTAGATCTCGTGGAGTAAGGTCTGGAATGAGCTTAATGAATAGCTGCTGTAAATAAGTGATCAAATCACTACTTTTAACAGCTTCAGGAATCCAGCTTAACTTAATATTATTGCGGCGGGAGTGGTCTTCCAAGTCAGCAACTTTGAGTTGGAATTTATGGATCACTTCCACCTGTTTATCATATGGATCTGCAAGGTCATCATGGGCTTTTGCAACTTGATTAATCTGAGATTCTAGATGATCCGTGTGCTCTTCAATTTTATCTAGCCTGTTAGACAATCGTGAAATAGAAGAGCGTAACTCATGATGAAATCCAGCCTGAAGGGAAAGTAGAATAGCTTTTTTCTGTTTTCTGATGCAGGTGCATCTGAGGCTGTGAAGGCAGCTAGTGACTTTTGCTCAGCCAAAAGAATATGATCTTGTGCTAGGGAAGCCCCATGCAGTTTTTTTTTAGCAGATGGAGGCTTAAGAGGAGAGTGAGCAGGGGAAATTGAAGCTCTCTTACCTCTGTCTGCATGTGTGGAGGGAGCGGAGTCCTGTGTTGCATCCTCCATGTCAGAGATTGGCTTTTTTTTTTTTTTTTTTTTTAAACTCCGCTGAATGCTTTTGTTTATGCTATCACACAATATACACATCATTCTACTGACATATTTAGAACAGTCCATCCATGTAGGGATTTATGTGCCCATAGTGAGGATTGGGCATTTCAGCTCTTCCAATTTGTACTTCACTTTTATTTTTTTAGAGGCTGTTTGTAAAGGGTGAAATCATTTTTTTTTTCCAATTGTTTCTAAAAACCCAAAGCTGTTTAGTTTCTTGTTTGTTCATCTGTTTTTCTTTCATCGCTGACTATTAATTTTTATTGAAGGATGTTTTCAATTTATGCATCAACGTTTTAATATAAGGCTGTGCACAGTGCACTCACCAGACTGTATAGTGCAGTAAGAGCAGGACCTTTTGTGCCTAACAGTACTACTGTTACCTTGCTAATGATTCCAGGCCTAGATGTGGGGAAAGACCTGACACCCTCTTTTCCCTTGACGGTTTTTTTAAACTTTACACAGGTGCAAATACTAGCTGCAAACAGCATTAAATGTCATGTGAAATCTTAAAAAATTAAATGCCAGTTAGTGGATGATATTTTTAACCTAATGAGAGGTGTAAATGTACACTCACCAGTCATTTTATTAGGTACACCTGTTCAATTGCTTGGTAACACAAATTGCTATTCAGCCAATGACATGGTAGCGACTCAGTGCATTTAGGCATCTAGATGTAGTGAAGACGACTTTCCGAAGTTCAAACCCAGCATCAGAAAGGGGATTTAAGTGACTTTGAACATGGCATAGTTGTTGGCGCCAGACAGGCTGGTCTTAGTATTTTAAAAAATTGCTGATCCACTGAGATTTTCACACACTACTATCTCTAGGGTTTACAGAGAATGGTTAAAAAAAAAAAGAAAATATCCAGCGGGCGGAAGTTGTATGGATGAAAATGGCTTGTTGATGTCAGGGGAGAATGGATAGACTGGTTTGAGATGATAGAAAGTCAACAGTAACTCAAATAACCACTTGTTACAACCAAGGTATGCAGAATATCATCTCTGACCGCAAAAGACACTGAACCTTGAAGCAGGTGGGCTACAGCAGCAGAAGACCCCACCAGGTGCCATTCCTGTCAGCTAAAAACAGGAAAGGAAGGCTACAATTCGCACAGACTCACCATAATTGGGCAATAAAAGATTGGAGAAACGTTGCCTGGTCTGATAAGTCCAGATTTCCCTAGAGATGGTTGCGTGTGAAAATCCCAGTAGATCAGCAGTTTTTGAAATACTCAGACCAGGCCGTCTGGCACCAACAACCATGGCACCTTTAAAGTCACTTAAATTTCCTTTCTTCCCCATTCTGATGCTCAGTTTGAACTTCAGTCTTCATCAATTTAGTCTTCATCACGTCTAGATGCCTAAATGCATTGAGCTGCTGCCATGTGATTGACTGATTAGCAATTTGTGTTACCAAGCAATGAACAGGTGTACCTAATAAAGTGACCTGTGAGTGTATAGGAATAAAATCATATTGATTCTTAAGTTTTAAAGATTCTTAGGAGTAAAAAGATGTTTCAATGTTTTGTAGGTGTTTCAGTATGTGCAGTTGAAATAGATTGGTTAGGTTTTAATTGAAACTCTAGAGTGAATTAACTTTTGTTTTTATTTCCAAGGGACCACAAAGCTGTTGGAAGGAGACCATTTGACAAAATGGCAACTTTACTTGCCTATCTTGGGCCTCCAGAACACAAGCCTGTGGCAGACACCCATTGGTCAAGTCTAAATCTCACAAGTTCCAAGTTTGAAGAATTTATGACTAGGTAATTACAGAATCTTCCTAGAGAAAATAGTGTCTGACATTTGTCCTTTCTTCAGACTAATAGATGTATCCCCCCCCCCCCCCCCCTCCATTTGTTCTGTAGGCATCAGGTACATGAAAAAGAAGAATTTAAAGCATTAAAAACTCTAAATATATTCTACCAAGCAGGGACATCAAAAGCTGGAAATCCTGTTTTCTACTACATTGCAAGACGGTAAGTTGTACTTTCTAGATGTTGTTTAAACACAGCAGTCCTTTTGTTCATGCATTGTTGGAGTTTACCATTCTTTGTGTCTAAAACAATTTACTCTAAATTATATCAAACTTGTACTGTATTTGATTTCCACACTCCACTTTTTAAGCTGCTGGTCTCCAATATCTGTGTTTTTATATCAAATCAGTAATTAAATATTACAAAAGTACTACAATTATCAAGTCAGTGAATTTGGGGGTTTAAAGTGTGCTTATGCTTTTTTATGAAAAGGAAAATCTTAAAGTAAAATATGAGTTAAAGATAATTATTAGTATAGTGTGCATTTCACTTTGCAAATGCTGCCAGAATCACTAGCAGATGAGGTTACAGTAATGAAAGAAACTGCTTTTAGTCATGGCACTGTGGCACTCCAGCACTGGATGAAGAGACTTACTATGTAATGTAGTCAAGGTCAGGATAAAAGTCCTATTGCATACACTAATAAAAACAAGTCTGTGAATGCATTTTTCTTTTGATTTCAATATTTTTAAGTAATATTTATTCATTTAGGGTATTGTCTTGCACTCCCATCTATTCGCTTCTCTACCACCTCTTCCGCCTGCTAGCAGAAACAGAAAATGAACCCTGTGGATGTCAGTTTTGTCAGTATTTGTCAGTCTCTTTCCCCACCCACAGTGCCTGGGCCTGGCATTGGCTTCATGACAGAGTGTCAGATTCCTGGTCCCATGCTGCGTGCTGTGACTTCTCACAGGCTTCACTTCACCACACGATATAGTAGTAACAGAGGAGCTGAAGTGGAGAGGAATCCACTGTGGGGGATCAGCAGATATTGGTGGCACAGATGGCAGGGGAGTTGATTTTATTTTTAAATGTGTTCTTGCAAATTATTTGACATTTATTTTTCATGATACTTGCTTTAAAGCAAAGATTATTTGGTACAATGTAAGATGTCAAACTAAATTGTAAGTTAACAAAAATAACATGAAAAAAATAGTGTTGTTTAATCCGCTTGTAATAAAAGCTAAGAAGCCTGTAAGTTAGCCTAGTAGTCATCATTTTGTTCTAAAGGAATATATACTTCCAATTTTCTTCCATGATTGCTCACTGAGCACAGTGTGTTTAGTTTAATATTCTGATGTCAGATTTGCCATCGTGACTGCCATGGCAACATTGCAGTACTGAGGTCCTGAATCGGGTCCCATTGGCCATTAGCCACCCTAAAAGGATCTCCTTTTCATGTAGGTTTCCTTTGGGTATTCCAGTTTCCTTCCTGTGAATCTGATAGGGTCTTAAAGATTTTCATATTAAACTGCAGATCTAGTACACTTTCATGCTGCAGATTCAATGAAAAGCAAATCTGTAAACTTATTTCTTGTGTATATCTATGGGATGCTGTCTTTTTGATAAGACACATCTCACGCAGAAGATTTCACTCATTGCAACATCATCCCCCTCACATGATATTATGAAGTCTGGTATTTATAAATCAGTTTTTTGTTTACCTCTTAAAAATATGCTTGCCTTAATACAAGGATTCATAGAGGATTTTTAATGCATCTGATCTTTTCCTAAATCAGGTTATTCAGTTTTGCATTGAAACGGTGGATTTTATGTAGGATTACAATGTTTAAAATGATACCCTATATCTCTATATCAGCGGTTACTACTCCTTCGGTCATATTCGCTTTTGATCTCATGCCATAAAAATTAAAATTTTAGCATGCAGTTGTTTAAACGGTAAAGGCATACAGAAATGTTTTAAACATTTATTGTCTGAATATGCATTACATGTATGGATTACATTTCTGTGCATTAGTACAGAGATATTCAGTGATTCACATTCAGTTTTCAATAAAGCAGTGCTGGTTTGTAAATCTTTAATCCTTGGCAGAATTGAACACAGAATTACAGACTTTGTCAAGCTGATTAAAAAAGCTGTTAATTTGTTCCTAGTTCCTCATTTGTAACATGCCATTACACAGTCCTTATAACAAGGAAGAGTATTGAAAACAAAACTGCAAGACACTTCTCTTTCTGTGCTGCTGAGGAGGGAGCAAGATCATTCAGTTGTACTGTTGTGGCTTGTATCTCTACAGATACAGTTGTGCTTGGCAGGGTTAAATTGTTATTTATTACATTATCAAAGCTCACGATAACTGTGGAATCATACATTTTAGTCTCCTCTAATTCATTTGAATTTATTAGATTGTCTATTTCATTCCCAAATGAATTAAAGTCTAAATGAATCATTCCATCTGCAGAGCTTTCATCTATCATTAGAGAGTCCTCTTTGCTTACATGTAGAAAGCTGCTTGTGTTAACTGGGGCTGCAGTTAAATCCTCTGGATATTGTATCTTTTTGTACTGCTTGGGTTCTTGCACTTCTAAGAAAAGTGAATGGTTTGTAAACAACGGAATGTCGTCAGTAGTGACTTCATTTTGTGCTTCATATTCAGTTGAAAATTGCTTGGTAATTTTATATCTGTCATTGGCACATGGAGAACCTATTACATTATTGTTTTCTTCTACCCATGCCATAATATAGTTCATATGTTGTGTGTCTTTGCATGACCATGGGTTGTTGTACAGGGTGATCTCTGTTACATGTGTCAGGTGGTCAAAAGCATGGGTTGGTATGTAGGTGAATCTGTTGTTGTGCAAATACAGTTTCTGCAGCTTAGGCATTCTCACCAATGATCCTTGCAATATCTGTGTTAAGGAATTGTTGGATAAATCTATTGTTAGTATATTACTGGGCATATTGGTTGGTACAGTCCAAAGCTGGTTGTAACTTAGGTTCAGGAGCTGCAGACTAATCAGTGTATTGTTGATAAACACTGTCTTCTGCAGGCTGTTTTTGGAGATGTCAAGCACCTTTAAGTTCCACTGGTATGTAGTGTCCAATTTATGAAGCACTTTGATGCTGTTATTTGAAGCATACAACTCCCAAAGAGACCTTGGCAAATGGGAAGGGAGGTTGCTGAGCAAGTTGTGGGAAAGGTCTAGAAACCTCAAGTTAGTGAACCTAGTCAATTGATGGTCTATATCAGACAGCTGGTTGTAAGACAAGTTCAGATGTATAATATTGTCCTGGAGTCCATGTGGCAATGCAGTCAAACTGCTGCCCGAACAGTCAACATTTCTGTTTTTCATAATGCAAGAACACTTCAAGGGACAGAGACAGAAGATGTTTGGTACAGAGCATAAAAGAATCAGGAGTCCTGGTGAGGGCTTGATTTGGCAATCCATGCTTACCTGCAACCAAATATTCAGTAGACATCTTCAATATACACATAAACACTTTTTCAGTTAAAACTATAGCTCTCTCCTTATTTTTGTTTAGCTTAATTGATTACATAAAAAAGTAAGCTATGTTTAAATTATTTCAGATTGTATAGATTTATCTTATGCTGTAATGTGTATACATTAACAAATGTTATTTTTCAGACAAGTTAGTTTTTACATTTTCTCTTTTCCAGTCGTTAAGGCATTCAGTTACTGAGACTGGCATTCTACTTCTTTGCTGCACTTCTTGTTAAGAATGCTATTGCCATTTAACACTGGCTTCTAATGTTACTGCAGCAAATAGTACATTAGTGGCATGAATAGATCATTGTATGACCTTTAATGTGTTAAGTCATAAATAAAACTTACCACTTCGTCTTCCCATTCAGAATCAATACATAGCTAATGTAGACGGTGCTATTAGCTGATGGGCATTTATCCAGCTCTTGCTTAAGGATGCTTGCTTCTGGTAGTTGTGCTTGTGCCTTTCAGCTGCATTGTACTGCTGTGAGCTGTAGCCCTGCATCCATCTGATCAGCTATTCGGAGGACTGCAGAGCAGATTCTAATGCTGACTCAAATTTATTGAGAGCATTGCATAGCCAATCCAGCAGCCAGTATGATCTCTGAACTGGGAGCGAGCACTGGGACACACAAATGTCCCCGTCTGTATGCTTAAATTGCAGTTGTGAGTTTTAAAAGCATTATGAATAGCCAAATGAAATTTTAACCAGAATAAATTATTTAATGCACTTTTTCAGAATGATATACTACCTAAAGTATGATTTAGGGATAAAATGTTAATACATTTTTTAGAGCTATACACATTCCATATTGAAATGTTAAAGAACTGCTTACCAAATATGTACTTATTATAGACTGGTATGAAAACAACAAATAGTCTACCAGCTTTGGTGTCTAAAAACCCTATCCTTGAGCTGGGAGAGTTCTACATGAAAAATAAAGCAGAGCACATTCATGCATTCTCAGAATTTCCACTAGCTAGTACTTGCTTATTTGACACTATTTTGGGAGAAATAAAGTTCAGCAAAGTGTATTAATAGTTTAGTATGTGGTGTGATTCTTGACTTTTTTTTTTTTTTTTTTTTTTTTTTTTTTTTTTTTAGAAAAGATGGCTAAAAGCATAACCCTCTTTCTTAATTTTGTTAACTTTGAATCCAGAGATCTGTTTAGTAAATGCATTTTTTCTCAAACATTTTTGCACAAATAGTACACATATGCATTACCACCTATGTTCATATGTCAAAAGATCCATTTGTGGCGTGAACAGAAGCAAAATTTGGAAGTGAGTTAAATCAGAAGACAAGTTAAAAAATAAAAATTGTGAACGGGCCAGCCCTTTACTACAGAAGAAACATGCAATGTCTCCTCTGCAATAAATAAAATCTATTTGCTTGCTTGCAGTTTCCTGTAGGTTGTACACTAATGCACTGGCTCCAGCACAGTGCCAGTGTGCTAGGTTGAATAACATCCCACAGTGGCCAGTCAAAATGGTCAAAGACTGGCACCTAGAAGAGGCCAGGGAATGGATGCCCGCAAGGGACTTCATGGGTGTCTGTTGGAACAGAGTCAAGTATTTTGTTTTACTTTATTTCTGCTAAAAAGGCACTTCCGCCATGCTTCTTCCCCTGTGGGGGATAATGGAGCTTTTTCCCATGTGACAGTTCTCAGACCTAGCAGCCATTCCCTAGGCCCCAAACACTTCCACTTAATAGAAATGACAAAGCTTCTCCCTCTGGTGTCCGTCCAGCATGGGTTCTGATGCCGACTACAGCAACAGAAAGAGTGTCTTGAAAATGCTACCAAGCTTGTCAATGGGTTGTGGATTACGAAAATACTGCCAGTTACTGTTGAGATAAGATAGTCTTGTCCATAGACAGCTAGGTAATGCACAGCCTTTTAGTGAATATGTATAACAGGGCTATAAGTGAATGCTTAAGATATTTTATACATAGTTTGTACTTTTACAGAACTAACTTGATGTGCCATGACTCGATCATACCAAACGTAATATTCTTTGGCATGCATGAGAAGGAAGCAAAGCATGTACTGATACTTCTGTTAAAGAACTTCACAAGATGTCAGGTGGAGGCGGTGGTAAAAGTTGGTCATCAATATCGCATGTTCCGTGAAAAGAATCTGTTATAGTATTTTTTTGGTATAATGAAATTTGGTTGCAGTGTTCATCACTTTGTGTAATATCTTTTTGTGGCAAGAGTTGGAAATCTCTTTCATCTCCAATGACAGGGAGCGCATTAATCTGTGGAGGCATTGGAAAATGTAGAACGTCATCTGGTGGAGGTGGTAGAGAGGTTTCATCATTTAGAGAGTATTCTTGAGGATGCTGTTGGCCTACAGATGTATCTAAAGAAAAGCTTGTTGCTTCACTTGATATGTATGGCATTGTGGGCATGTTGGTTTTAATGGCATCTTCATCTTGCATACTTGCTTCTTTATAATGTCCTTGAGGCATGTTTTCAGAAACATGACTTTTTTTTGGAGCCTGTAATTCATTGGGTACTACTGGGGCTGTACTTAAGCTTGAGAGTGACCTTTGTCTACCTAGGATACATTCATTCATGTTAATATCTTCTTGGGTGTTCCCATCTGCCAGTGGTGATGGTCCTGCCCAATTTTGGTCAGCGGTGTTCTCCTTTTTAAAATGTTTCCATATAGCAATGCCAGATATTGCTATTAACATAAATATTAAAATAATTCCAACAATAAGTGCTGCTATCCAGAGGTATTTCTCGGATTCATCTCCTGATCCATTCTGATCCATTTTATCTTTATCCATATTTAATGATGATTTTACCTAGGAATAACAAGTAATTTGTAAAAAAAAAACCTAATAGTCTATGGTTCACCAGCAACAGAAAAATCTTGCACTGAATGAAGCTCAACTTTATGACAGCATTTTGATTCTAGTCTCCTCTCTTATTGTTGGAAGTGATGCTGTTCCATGTGCTCATCGCTATGTCTTTAAGATGTGCTATGTTGGCTGAAAACAGGTCACAGGAGTGCAAAACAAACTGCACTCCTGTGATGCTTAGGAGAAATATAGCCAAAATTGCTTTGGCTATACTTTAACTGTAATTGTTCTTCACGGTAGCTCTCCACAACATTATTCAGTGTCTCTCAACTCCTACTCTGTGTTCTGTGTGATTTTTTTTTTTTTTTAGAAAATCAACAGTTTTACTTCAGTAACTCCCTCCCCAGCATCCTGTGCTTGCCTTCCCATTGGTCTGCCACTGCTTATTTTGGTCACTGGAAAGAAAATGATAAGGGCCCATATACTGTAAATTCAGTGTTGAGATTTCATTCTTATAGTGCACTGGGTGCTAGGGATCCAATGCACCAAGCACCAGATGCTTCCTGAACTTGCAAGTATAGGGTATTGCTTTTTACTCCCAGTGATTGAAAACTGTTGGTAGGGTATTGCATGAAAGGTACAGTGCGTGTGTGCATCTGGGAAGTGGGGCAGTTAGGTGCAGATGTTGCAAAGCACAGTTGTGTTATAATTTGTGATATTAAAGGCTATTTTTTATTTTACATAACAAACATGTTATACTTACCTGCTGTGTACAGTGGTTTAGCACAGAGCAGCTCTGATCCTCCTCGGGTTCCCCCGCCGGCGCTACTGACCTGTCCCTCCTGCTGGGTTCCCCACAGCAAGCATCTTGCTATGCTCACTCCTGAGCCACTGCTCTGCATGCTCATTCACACACAACTGTGGCTCTGCCCCCTCTTTTTCCTCATTGGTTCACTGGCTTTGATTGACAGCAGTGAGAGACAATGGCTCAGCCAATGAGGACTGAGAGTTCCTGGAGAGCCACGGATTTCGTGCACATCGCTGGATCGTGATGGGGCTCAGGTAAGTATTGAGGGGCTGCTGTACATAGAGGGTTTTTTTTAACCGTGCATAGAATGGAAACTTGCGCCTTTACAATCACTTTGTTACTTTGCAGAAAGTTTGGCGATTATACAGTAGTATAAAGGCCGCTTCACGCCACAGTTTGTGTACAGTATGCATTCCTGCATGCTTGTTTTTGATGCTTTCTGGTGTGTTTTCCAGTATTTTTTTTTCCTCCATCTCAATTGAGCACATGTGTGTTCTTATGCATTTTGATGTGTTCTATACAGAAAAATTACAGCATATTATACTTTTGTTGACTGTACTGGAACTCACTGCTCTGGTGTGAACTAGGGCTACTGGAATCAATGTTAAACACTGTCCATACACTTCTGATGCAGAATAGAAATGCACTGGACTACATCTGGCATGAACCAGCCCTAAATCCTGAGAGAGGGCCCTAAGGGGTCTCAAAAGCTTGCATTAAAATGTGTTAGCCAAATGGGCAGCACAGTGGCTTTGTGGTTAGCACTTCTGCCTTGAAGCGCTGGGGTATTTGGTTTGTGTCCCAGCCAGGATGCTATCTGCATGCTCTTGTATGCTCTTCCTTTTCTTGCATGTGTTTCCTCCCATTCTCTATACACATGCTAGTAGGCTCCTCTCCAAACTGACTCTAGTATGTGTGTATGTATATTTGTGAGTCCGAGACCTTGGAGAGCAGGGACTGATGTGAATGTTAAAGTAGAAGTACAGCCAAATCTCTTTTGGCTGTTCTCCTATGGATCAGTTAATCTTTGCACTCCTGTGACCCGTTTTCAGCTGAGAGCACTCAGCCGGTCCAGGCTGGAGAAAGATCCTGACTTTAAAGTTGGGATCCACCCTAGAGTCTAAAGCGGCACTTGGCTCAACCTCTCAGTGATCCGTTGAGAATCAGAGCCACCTGCTCCCTCCCCCTCCACAGCCCAGTGGTCCAATGAGCGCAGGGGGGCAGAGCAGACATTGGTGGCTGACAGTTACCGGTCTCTGCTTAGAGCAGCTATGAGAACTCAGCAATTAATGGTCATGTTATCTCTGAGTTCTCAACCTTAGAA